GTTCTTGTTTTTCAGATCCAAATCAGCACAGAAAGATGCAAACCACAGTTTTCACCATGTGCCTGGCTGCCATGGCATTTGCCACCCCTGTAAGTATCACCTTTTCAAAATAAGAAGCTCTTTGCTCAATAAAATAAGGTGGAAATAGTTGTATCAGGCAGTGGTTCTGAGGGGATTAATGGTTAGATAGCATTGGCTCCAGCCATCTGTTTGATGTCACACACAGTCTGACTCTCAGTGAGAGGCGGTCTGGGGGACACGTTGTCATTTTAAACGATTGGTAGCAAACTCCTTGCAGTCATTAACAATGTATTTCAAGGGGAGTTTCAGAGAGTCTTTGTTACATTTTCTTTCTCTGCCTTGGAATACTGGCCTTTCGACAGGCATTAAACATGAGACAGAGTGCCCAATCTATTATAGCACAGCAGGTGCAAGTTTGTCTGAGCTGGCTTCAAGATTGAAATGTATGTAAATATAACCTTGCACAGGTAAGAAATGCCTTTCGTTTGTTTGTTGGATAGAGTCAAACTCCAATGTTTGTTCATTTCTTCATATACTACCGTACAGAATTAACTGCTGGGTGCCTATGTATGTATATAAAGATATTAGTGTGAATAAAGTGTATTTCTGAAATGCAAAAAAGACACTAATAATGGAAGAAGGGTCCCGACCCGAAATGTCAGCTTTCCTGCTCCTCTGATGCTGCTTGGCCTGCTGTGTTCATCCAGCTCTATACCCTGTTAGCTCTACCCTAGTAATGGCTCTCTCACTGAATCAAGGCCTTACTGGTGATATGTCTCCTTTTCTGTGTCACTGACACACAGCCCAGGTCTGTACAAGTGTGTGGTATTGAGAACTGCTCCTCATACCATGGCTTTCATTGATGTGGAAAAGTATTTGCTGTCAGACCCTGGTTGGTGTGGGGAAGACTAAGCTGACTCACGGTTAGGTTTTTTTTCTCATCAATGCAGGCTGTTTGAGGCTGTTGAGGGTCAGGAAGTGTTCAACATACTCCAGATTTAAATGTAACCTATTGATGGAATTTGTGGATGGAATTCTGGTTAGAAAGGAAAACATAGGTCATCAAACCAGGATCCCGCTCACCTGACCTCAGGATAAGAACAATCTGATAGTTGATAACAGGAGAAACCATGGAGGATTCTCCCCAGAAATATTGGTGACTTATTGGTGACAAAACCCAGGAGATTCTTCTCTAAAATCCCAAAGGCGACCCTACAGGGAAACCTGAAAATGAGAGAATATTACTCTGTTACAGAGACAATCCTAATCATTCCATTGTATGATTTACAATGTCATTGGCTATTCTCCGTTTCATTTCCACAGCTTCGGAAAGCCAGAGACTTGGAGAGTGGCAGTCGGGAGGTAAACTCTCATTTTCCATTATTCTTACCACTCTGTCAGTTTACTCCGCTTTTTAAAATCAAGTCCTTTTCAATGAGTTTGTAATGTTTACATAAATGTGTCAAGACACTTCACAAAGACACAGGAATAGATTTGGAGGGTGGGAGATTTGGAGCGTGAGTAATTTGTGTGTTAGTTTTCTGAAGTAGTTGATTGTGAAGGAGACAGATACAAAGATCTATAAAGAACAGGGATGGGAGTAATGCCTGCCTCCACTAACCAATAAGGTGATTGACTGATCATCCACCTCAACTCAGGCATCAAAATTTTCATTTAACCAGCCAAGTGATGTGGGTGATGTGCTGGGCCCACTGTTTATTACCCATCCCTAATTTCCCAGGGGGCAGTTAAGGGTCACCCACATTGCTGTGGGTCTGGAGTCACATGTAGGGCCAGACAGGGTAAGGACGATCGTTTCCTTCCCTAAAGGTCATTAATGAACCAGATGGTTTTACCTGACAATCGACATCATTACACTCTTAATTCCAGATTCTTATTAAATTCAAATCCCACCATCTGCCATGGCGGGGTTCAAGCCCAGGTTAATAGTCCAAGCAATTATGCCCCCTACCTTATCATGGCCTTGTGTCCTGGTGCCCAGAGATGAGGATTTCAGCAGCTGAGGTCAGGCTGAAGGCAGACATTCACTGTGGAAGCAGGAGTCTTCACTAAGACTGGAATAGAAAACCCACCCCATGCCTTCTCACCCGACATATACCCCAGTCCCTAGACCTAGATATACTCCACTTCCAGAATTGTGAGAAACAAATGTCTGCCCAGAGCTAATAACGTCATTTCTCAAGTCATGAAACCTCCGTGAAATGTTTTGGGACCGTTCGGAGGTTATGAATATGGACATTTTGCTTCTTTCTTTTTAGTGCATCTTTTCATCTCAGTCGAGTTTTACAATAACCTTAAAGAGTGTTTGCTAATATTGTGTCCTTCTTTTGTAATTACAGAATTACTACCGTTATTATGGACAGTTCTATCCACCTATATACAGGCCTTACTATCCTTATCGGCCTGGATATCCTGGGCTACCATTTGGGCCCTATTACCCCATCTATCCCCGATTCCCTGGCTATTTCCCAAACTACAACAAACTCCCTCAATATCCAAACTTTCCTCAGTATCCAAACTATGGACCTGTATATAATGGGTTTTCAAGGAATTCCAATTCCCAATTCTCCAAGATAAAGGAAGATAATATTGTGGGAGAAGGTGATCCTAAAGAATACTCTGTGCTAAGCAATCCTAGACCCCTCAGTATAAGTTCTGAGATTTCATTCGAAGATTCAAGCAGTATGGAAGATACTGATTTCAGAATCCCCTTTGAAGACGTGCCTTACGATGTGCCAGATTATGGGGTCCCTGGAGATCCAGATCATGAAGGTCCCTTTTCACAAGATAATGTGGGACCTTTCACACCAGATAATGAAGATCCCTTTTCAC